ATTTAGCATATCCGAGAAAGCGGAAATCTAAACCAGCTCTACTGATTTGTAGTGCAGGAGCCCTGAAATGATCAGGAATTGGCTTAAGGATGCCGACATGGGTTCTTTTACAAATAACCTATCTATATGACTTTATAGATGTGAGAGTTAAAAGTATAGAAAAATAAGAATAAAAGTCTCACTGCCTATGCTGGACAAAATACCTTGGGAAAAGTTCTTGATCCTGACTTCTACAAATTCTTCTGTATTACTCCCCCCTAAAACTGCAAAATTAGAGAAGTACTTTAGGAATTTATGGCTGGTTTGCAGTAATGGGGATACTAATGTTAAGTAAATAGCATTTCAAGACTTTCCATTGGGAAAACAATCAAGAGTATAAACCCATTTCTCATCATCCGAGAAATACAAATTTGGCCAAGATCTTTGAGATTTGATTCAAATCCTTCTCTTCCCAGATATAAATGCCTAAACTTCCCAAGACGAATGTGTGAACATTTTATTCCATTTTAAATATATCCTTTAGAAGCTTGTTTTAGTTTTTCATTACTCTTCCAATAAAAGAAAACCCTTGACTGGTATTCAAAAGAAAACAACACAACACTAGAGAAAAGCTACATGATTTTCTTATTAAATATTTGGCACAAATATCTTTTACTTACGAATTATTAAAAACACATGTCTTTCAGAAATAAAACAGGAAATTTAGAACTGGGGGGGCTGTCTTTAAAGAACTAAGTCAATTTAGTTGGGAAAACTGAGGCTTAGAGAAGCAAAGTAATTTGCTCGGGATCATATAGCTAGTTTGTTTCAAGACTAAATTCCAAATTCTCTGGACTTGAGTTTCCAAACACTATGCTCCTTCTAGCAGCAACTTTCTTTTCCACTACATATAAGGCCTCTCCAAGTCAGCAATGCTTCAAGTCAACATTTGGAAAAGGTTTTCTGCTTTTTAAAAAATACACTGAGGAGTAAGAATCTGAACTTCTTCGAGTCAAGTACTACCTGATGACTAGACAGCTTGCTGGGGAGACTGCTTCTGCTGTACCTGACTATACGCTTAGCAGGATTCCTACTTCAGCAAGCACCATACACTATCTCACTTTTTAGGACTAAATATGCCTGAAGCCCAACAAAACAGAACATTTCCTTGCAATTAAGCAAACACTTCATCCTCTCTCAGACAGGGAGAAAACACGTCGTCCTTTTCTCCTACAATCACTACAAAATTAAGAAAACTTTAAAACAAGAGATTTCTGGTGATCCCAGATATATACAGAAAGGCCTTTTTCCAGATTTAGTGTTTGACTAACAGGCACTAGTCCTCACTTCTGGAAACTCAGTTTAAAAAATGGATAAGTAGTATTGGATTCTCATATTCAAGCATGTTTGAAAAAAAATCTGAATCTAATTAGCTTTTACCCACCATCTCACTGAGGCCAGGAGGAGCACAATGCCCCAGAGGGTCATATGAATATGGGGAAGAACATTTTATTGCTCATTTATCCAGCCAGCTGCTCTATTGCAACTACACTAAAAAAATCCTGAATCACTAGGGTGTAGATTACAAATTAGAAGAATGGAGAGAAAAACCTGCCAACAACAAAAATGCAATTTAGTCTTAGGAAATCAGCAGATCTGGGCTTAAAAAAATACACACACACACACACACACACACACACACACACACACACACATTTCAGAGAGGAAGAGAGAGAGAGAAATATCAATAATGAGAGAGAACAATTGATTGGCTGCCTCCTGCCTGCCTCACACTAGGGATCAAGCTTGCAACCCAGGCATGTGTCCTGACTAGGAATCGAACCGTGAGCTCTTGGTTCATATTGTTCTATCACTGAGCCACACTACCTGAGCTCTCTTTTGCTCTTTTATTTTTTTTAATATATATTTTTATTGATTTTTTACAGAGAGAAAGGGAGAGGGATAGAGAGTTAGAAACATCGATCAGCTGCCTTCTGCATACCTCCTGCCGGGGATGTGCCCGCAACCAAGGTACATGCCTTGACCAGAATCGAACCTGGAACCTTTCAGTCTGCAAGCCAACACTCTATCCACTGAGCCAAACCGGTTTTGGCTCTTTTGCTCTTTTAAAGATAACATACAGCTTTTGGGTTCATGAATGAAATAGTTTCTCATCACTCAATGAGAGCAAGGTTTTTGGTGTGTTTTGCTCACATTGTATTCCTAGCTCCTAAAGTAATGGAATTCAGATGACTCAAGTATTAAAAACACATCTTTATGAATAATGTTACCTTTTTGACATTTTCTTCTCTTCATAATGTTTCCCTTTAAGTTGATTTTTTTTTTTTGCTACTAATTTATTCTTATTTTTTTCCTGTTTAGATCTGATAATTGTTTTTCTTGTGTGCATGTCCAAATTTAAGAGGGACATGAACATGTGGTGGGCTTTTTCAACTTTGAAATTTAATATAGAATTACCTAAGAGGTGGGTTATCTGTTGGGAACTCCCTGATGTTTGTATCTTTCCTCTTAGACTGTCTGATACCACAGAGAAGAATTTCCTTCTGTCTTTGCTTGACAGGTGCAGGCCTGGCTGCTAGTATTTAGGAACCAAGTGAGAGAAGAACACTGAGGACCTTAGAACATAGATTCCCCATTTAAAAAAAAAAAAAAAAAATATATATATATTATTGATTTTTTACAGAGAGGAAGGGAGAGAGATAGAGAGCTAGAAACGTCAATGAGAGAGAAACATCGACCAGCTGCCTCTTGCACACCCCCTACTGGGGATGGGCCTGCAACCAACGTACATGTCCCTGACCGGAATCGAACCTGGGACCTCCCAGTCCGCAGACTGACGCTCTACCACTGAGCCAAACCGGTTTCGGCAGATTCCCCATTTTTTGTGTGATATCTCCAACCTCATCTATGTTTGGTGTTCTAATCATATTTACTAGCTCTTTTATATATTTTTAAAAATAATATTTATTGATTTTTAGAGTGAGAGGAAGGGGGAAGAGAGAAATATTGATGTGAGAGCATAACATTGATTGGCTGCCTCCTACATACCCTTTACTGGGAATTGAGCTCGCAATCTGGGCATGTACCCTAACCAGGAATCAAACCGGTGACCTCTTGGTTCATGGGCCAATGCTCAGCCACTGAGCCATACCGGGGTGATTCTCTATAACTATTAATCATTTCCTTTTTCATCTAAATCACTGATTATTTTAAACCTTTCCTTTATATCAATAATTTGATTTTCATTGGTATCTACTATTCCATTATTTATTATTTTAAAATTTACTAGTTAATTCTGAAATTAAGTTATGTGGTCCTCTATTTTCTTAGTTCTCTATACTCTTTTATCTTATTCTGTTGCTTTATAATCTCATCACTGAAATTTTATTTTTTAATTATTTTTTTATTTTAAAATATATTTTATTGACTTTACACAGAGAGGAATTGAGAGGGATAGAAAGTTAGAAACGTCAATGAGAGAGAAACATCGACCAGCTGCCTCTTGCACACCCCCCACTGGGGATGTGCCCGCAACCAAGGTCCGTGCCTTTGACCGGAATCGAACCTGGGACCTTTCAGTCCGCAGGCTGACGCTCTATCCACTGAACCAAACCGGTTTCAGCTGAAATTTTATTTATAAAATCTACATTTTAATGAGTTGTTTTATAGTTGTAAAGTTGTAAAGAAATTCTTTCTATTCATTGAGTTTTCTTTTTTAGGATAGGTTCTTTGTCTTCTGCAGGGTATTTTTCTAGCTTTCATTTTGTTTGCTGTATATTTGCATAGCTGGCATGCTAATTTTTTGGGGTCTTGTTCATTCTTGTTTTATTTGTTTTGAAACAATATAGATGAATTCTTGCCCTGGCTGGTGCTGCTCATGGTTAGAGTGTCAGCCCATATATTGAAGAGTTGTGGATTCGATTCCCAGTTAAGGGCACATACCTGAATTGCAGGTATCATCCCCGGCCCCAAGACAGGGCATGTGCTGGAGGCAGCCAATCAATGTGTCTCTCTTACACTAATGTTTATCTCTCTTCTCCCCACTACCTCCCTCCCTTCCACTCTCTGGGGAAAAAAATATCCTCTGGTGAGTATTAATGAAAAAAATTGTTTTAATATTGTTTAGATATCCAATGGAATATTATGCAGCCTTAAAAAGGAAGGAGCCTGGCCAGCATGGCTCAGAGGTTGAGCATCAACCCATGAAAGGTAATGGTTTGATTCCCTGTCAGGGCACATGCTTGGGTTGTGGGCATAATCCCCAGTGGCGAGTGTATAGGAGGCAGACAATCGATGATTCTCTCTCACACTGATGTTTCTCTCTCTCTCCCTCTCCTTTCCTCTCTGAAATTAATACCAATATATATATTTTTTTAAAAGGAAGGAAATTCTGACATATGCTACAACATGGATGAACCTTGAAGACATTACACAAAATGAAGTAAGCCAGTTACAGAAAGACAAATACCTTATGATTCACTTATATGAAGTATCTATCGCAAGGAGTCAAATTCATAGAAACAGAAAGTTGAATGGTAGTTTACCAGGGGCGGGGAGAAGAGATGGAGAGTCGTTGTTTAATAGATATAGAACTTCATATTTGCAAGATAAAAAAAGTTCTGGAGATCTGTTTCACAATAATGTGAATATATGAAGATTAGTGAAATATACACTTAAAAATGGTTAAGAATAGTAACTTTTATAAAAAAAGAAGCTCTATAACATTGTCAGAAAAAGTCCTGTTCCCTGTTTTCCCCACAGCTGTTTTGCCCCATTCCTATGCAGGATCTGATGCTACCTTGGCAAGAAGAGACACAGAGAAAAGCTAAGCTTGTGTGGTGAAAGAAAGTCTTCATTCTGTCTCTTGGGAAAACATTCACATACTTCTGTTAATTTCACACAATATAATCTAGTTTTCATAACTCTTTCCCATCCACTGGGTGGTTTTATTTTGTTTTAAGACAAGAAGAATTGCCAATAAGAAAAACCCCAGGGCTTACTTCTGCAGGATAGATCCCTTAATGACCAGCTCCTCATCCAAGTCCGCTTCATTAGCCATGAAGAGCAGCCTCTTTCCTGTGCTGTCCACTCCAATGAAGTCACGCTGCTCCACTGAATCACACAAAAGAAGAAATATCAAACAAAGACATTTGCTTTGCCTGTATGACTAAGAGAAGAGGGTACCTGCTCACATTTCTCTTGGAACCAAATACAGAACTGAGTGTTATAAAGCACATACTCATTATTATGTTTAAAACACAGGCAGTCAAAAATTTTTTATTACTCTAAAGGATATATTAGGTTAACTGTGAATTCTGACTAAGTCCTATAGATTAAAGTATTGTGTCAATATAATTTCCTATTTTTAGAGATCTGTCCTTTATGGAGGGGGGTTGAGGGGAAGGAATACATATTCATGTATTTAAAGGCAAACCGAATGATGCCTGCAATTTTTTCACAAATAGCTCAGAAAAAATTATATATACATTAAATATGCATATGACATATATTGAATATAGGTTATGAAAGAGAGAATGATAAAGCAAATATTAACATTTGGGTACAAGATATATAATTTCGTGCCCTAGCCAGTTTTGCTCAGTGGATAGACTAAAAGTTCCCCATTTTAATAGCACATGCCCAGGTTGTGGGCTTGATCCCCAGTGTGGGGCATGCAGGAGACAGCTGGTCAATGATTCTCTCTCATCACTGATGTTTCTATCTCTCTCTCACCCTCTCCATTCCTCTCTGAAATCAATAAAAATATATTTTAAAAAAGATATATTAAGTTCTTTATACTATTCTTGTAACCATTTTGTAAATTTGAAATAATTAAAAAAAATAAAAAGGCGGTGGTGAATATGTTAATTAGTTTGATTGTGGTAATCACTTCACAATATCTATAAATACCAAAATATTACCTTGTAAGCCTTAAATATATAATTTTTATTTGTAAAAAATAAATAATGTTTTTAAAAAAGAGGGGCAGCCAAGATACTACTTAACCACCTTCGTGGATTAACCACAAGCACATTGCCTGGCACAAAAAGAAAATACAAGAATTTCTTTCTTTGAAATAATCAGCTAAGTCTGTTTACTGTGAAAATAGGAATAACATTATTTAAGGACAACCACATTCAACCAACATTAACTATATGTTTACTGTGCACTAGCTTTTATGCTGTGTATGGGAGCATTCAAATAAAATAAGGTACACATTTTTTAAATGTACAGAGTTATCTGTTAGATAGTGATGTTATAGACTGCCCTATTATTGCTGTTTTCTGTGTTACATTTCTTCACCTCAACCACATTATAAGCTCTTCAAGTGCAGGCTTATGATTCCTTTAAATATAAATACAGTATAGTGTTGGACACTTAACAAAATCTGCTAAGATCTGTATAGTATCTATCTATAGCTTGCAAAAGCATTTTCTTTTCTTTTTTAAAAAATAATATATTTTATTTATTTTTTAAGAGAGGAAGAGAGAGGGATAGAGAGTTAGAAACATCGATGAGAGAGAATCATCGATCAGCTGCTTCTTGCACACTCCCTACTGGGGATGTGCCCACAGCCAATATACATGCCCTTGACTGGAATCGAACCCGGGACCTTCCAGTCCGCAGGCAGACGCCCTAGCCACTGAGCCAAACCGGCTTCAGCTGCAAAAGCATTTTCAAATAGAGGCAGCATAACACATAGTTAAGAGAGCCTTTGAAGCCACATCACTTGGGCATGAAAACCACTTACTATTTGTATGTCTTTGAACAAGATACTAAACCTCTTTGTTTCTCAGTTTCAGTTGTAAAATGAGGATAATAAGGACTAAATAAGTTAATATATGCTTTCATTTGATCCCCACAAAAATCACATAAAGCAATGACTTAACACCAAGGAGAAACTGAAAGTTGAACTCGAGGAAATATTTTTATCTCTAAGATGAATTTATCTGCTTCCTACTGACAGGCAATGACTACCATATAATTAAACATGCTTCCTTGTCAGCTTCAGTTGTCTCTATACCAAGAACCAAATGTGCCAAATCAAATGTACCGAGTGTTGATCTGCAGTCTGAAAGGTCCTAGGTTCGATTCCGGTCAAGGGCATATACCTTGGTTGCAGGCACATCCCCAGTAGGGGGTGTGCAAGAGGCAACTGGTCGATGTTTCTCTCTCATTGACGTTTCTACCTCTCTATCCCTCTCTCTTCCTCTCTGTGAAAAATCAATAAAATATATTTTTAAAAAAAAGAACCAAATGTATTACTCAAGTGTATAATGTGTTTAGCTCAGTGGCTAAAGCATTAATTTCTTCAGATGGTATCTAGTCATCTTGTCATATGTAGTGTCTGAATCTGAATAGGGAGAAGAGGGTAAATAATGCCAATATGAAGGCAAGTTTTATAGGGACTTTCAAGCAAAGCTAAAAACTGCAGAGAATTTCAAATGCCATACAGCAGCTTTGACATATATCAATTCATTCATTCATACATTTCATGGAAACTTGAGAACATAACAAAGTCTGCAAAGGTCTGATTATGAACCAATGTTTTAAAAAGAAGCACAGATTTATTATTTTTGGATGTAATTTGGAGTGTTTAGCCTATCCAATTCCTTGGGCCCACAAAACCCGAATGTCCCAGGAGCAGTAATTTTCAACAAACCCATTTTTCAGTTTTGGTGCACTTCAGTCACATTCCCCTCACTCTCAGGCCCCACTTTTTGTATTTGCTTCTTTGTATCTACCATAGTAACTGGGACCTCAGAATATGATATAAATTAGGGATCCTTGGAAATGTTTCTGTTCCGTGTTAACAAAGTGAATTCCACTTTGACTTCAGAGCACATAACATTAGAATGTTCATCCTAAGAAGACCACACAAATAGCGTTAAGAAAGCAGTTAAAACTATGAAGTTCTATTTTAAAAAATCTGTCATATTCAACTATTCATATTTTAGTCATTTTTGTTTTTACTTCTTTGAACCCTTGTTTCCTCTACAGTCATTTACTTTTTTTTTTTTTTTTTTTAATATTCTATACTGACCACATGCTCTTGCCCCAGCAGCAGTTTGGGGAGCAGCCACTAATTTGGCCATTTTTATTTATTTATTTATTTTTTCCTAGTTAAGCCTAAGCCTAAGCCTAGTTAAGCCTAAGCCTACTGAAGCCTAAGCTTAAGCCCAAATCTAGTTAAGTCTAAGCCTAAGTCTAGTTAAGCCTAAGCCTAAGCCTAGGCCTAAGCCTAGTTAAGCCTAAGCCTAGTTAAGCCTAGGCCTAAGCCTAGTTAAGCCTAAGCCTAGTTAAGCCTAGGCCTAAGCCTAGTTAAGCCTAAATCTAGTTAAGCCTAAGCCTAGTTAAGCCTAAGCCTAAGCCTAGTTAAGCCTAAGCCTAGTTAAGTCTAAGCCTAAGCTTAGTTAAGCCTAAGCCTAAGTCTAGTTAAGACTAAGCCTAAGCCTAAATCTAGTTAAGTCTAAGCCTAAGCCTAAATCTAGTTAAGTCTAAGCCTAAGTCTAGTTAAATCTAAGCCTAAGTCTAGTTAAGCCTAAGCCTAAATCTAGTTAAGTTAAGCCTAGGCCTAAGCCTAGTTAAGCCTACGCCTAACCCTAGTTAAGCCTAAGCCTAACCCTAGTTAAGCCTAAGCCTAAGCCTAGTTAAGCCTAAGCCTAGTTAAGCCTAAGCCTAAATCTAGTTAAGCCTAAGCCTAAGTCTAGTTAAGCCTAAGCCTAGTTAAGCCGAAGCCTAAGCCCAGTTAAGCCTAAGCCTAAGCCTAGTTAAGCCTAAGCCTAAGCCTAGTTAAGCCTAAGCCTAAGCCTAGTTAAGCCTAGGCCTAAGCCTAGTTAAGCCTAAGCCTAAGCATAGTTAAACCTAAGCCTAGTTAAGTCTAAGTCTAAGCCTAGTTAAGCCTAAGCCTAGTTAAGTCTAAGCCTAAGCTTAGTTAAGACTAAGCCTAAGTCTAGTTAAGACTAAGCTTAAGCCTAAGCCTAGTTAAGCCTAAGCCTAAACCTAGGTAAACCTAAGCCTAAGCCTAGTTAAGCCTAAGCCTAAGCCTAGTTAAGCTTAAGCCTAAGCTTAATTTAAAAATTTAAAAAAAATTAAATTATTATCTGTGTACATATCTTACCATTGCCCCCCCATACACATCCTCTCTCCCCAGAGTTTTGTGTTCATTAATTGTACTTACGTGCATGTATATAAGTCCTTAGGTTGATATCTTATCTAGCCCAGATCTCGCTACCCTCCCCGCTGTAATTTGACAGTCTGCTTGTTGCTTTATTGTCTCTATATCTATCTTTTGGTTCATTAGTTTATAATGTTCTTTATTATCCATAAATGAGTGAGGTCATGTGGTGTTTCTCTTTCATTGATTGGCTTATTTCACTCAGCATGATGTTCTCTAATTCTATCTAGGTTGCTGCAAATGATAAGAATTCCTTCTTTTTTATGGCAGCATAGTATTCCATTGTGTAGATGTACCATAGTTTTTGGATCCAGTCATCTGCTGATGGGCACCTAGGCTGTTTCCAAATCCTAGCTATTGTAGATTGTGCTGCTATGAATATAGGGGTGCATATATCCTTTCTGATTGGTGTTTCTAGTTTCTTGGGATATATTCCTAGGAGTAGGATTACTGGGTCAAATGGGATACAGTCATTTATTTATCCATTCACTTATTTGTGTACCTATTCTGTGACAGGCATTATGTTTGCTATGTAGAGAGAGGCCAAAATGACTTTAAAAAATATAAATAAACGAGGGCAGCCTCTAGCTAAGAGCTAGCTAGAAACTGAGATTCTCAGGGAACTGAAATTCTGCGAACAAACACGTATGCTTAGAACTCCTTTCCTAGTTGAGCCTTCAGATGAATCCTCAGTCCTGAATGACATGCTGATTTCAGCCTTGTGAAACACTCTTGGTTAATTCTCTCTCTCTCTCTCTCTCTCTCTCTCTCTCTCTCTAATATTTTATTAATTTTTAACAGAGAGAAAGGGAGAGAGATAGAGAGCTAGAAAACGTCGATGAGAGAGAAACATCGACCAGCTGCCTCTTGCACACCCCCTACCAGGGATGTGCCCGCAACCAAGGTACATGCCCTTGATCGGAATCGAACCTGG